AGCCCAGCCCCTCCATATCTACTGTAGAGAGAGCCCAGCCCCTCCATATCTACTGTAGAGAGAGCCAAGCCCCTCCATATCTACTGTAGAGAGATTTCTTCAGAATAAAAGTTCCAGCAGGTCTCCCAACACTGCGTGGCAATGCAAGATTTTGCACATCTTGATGATTCTACTGTGTTTGTAACTGCAAATATGGACTTTTGTTCCATGAAATAAAATACACATGTAATTCAGAACAGAACATCATCAGTGTCCATTCTCCAGAGCCGATCTTAAAGAAATTTCACAAATACCTCGGACAGTCTCCCTACTAACCCCAACAGTCGCAAATCCTCTGATTTCAATGTGATTTTGCATACACCCTAGGGGGTTAGAGTTAACATTTGATAATGCTTATCACACACTGGCACTCGGACACGAGACAGTTAATCAATTCTGATTGGTCAAGAGTCTGGGTGCACGCAGCACGCCACATGCGCACCAAGTCTATATGCACATAAGGAGATTCTTTTGGACAACTTGAACAAGGAACATACATGTACCACAAAATGGACGAGGGTATTCGGGAAAATGAAAGTAAAATTCTGAAACAGCACTGTGGGAAATCCATCAGATACTGATTTCTTTTAACTCGCTAACTTAAATGGTATTCATGAATGGCTATAAATATGTGCTTGGCCGGTCTTACAATGGTGCTGGAGACTGAACGCTGATATTTCACATCCATTCTCCTGAACTGACCTTAAACGCACTTTTGAGACCGGCCAAGCACATACATCCCTTGTTAATGACCAGCCATCTCTTGAGGAACAAATTCGACAATGTTACTTCATTTTTTTCAAATCATCCCGTTAGCCATTTCATGCTATGGTATTTTCCCTCTTGAGAAGAGTTCTAAACAATCTCATGTGGACATTGGCTCGTGTATTGCGTGCACTGGGTGCGGTGACACACAGCCAGCCAGTGCTTTAACCAACCACGTGACAGGCTTTCTACCAATAGGAATGACTTAACTCATGTTTTTATGAACGGAGCATAAGACGACCACTGAATGTATGCCTTTAGGTGAAAACCACTCTTCACTTTAGCAAAGTTGTGACCTTCTGTGTTATACGTACCTATTCATGCATGTACCAATGTCAGGTGGGCAGAGGAATTCTGTGGTTTCACCTTCCAGGTTTGCTGTGAAGGTCTGAGCTTCTTTCAATTCAAGGATCAGGGGGCTTCTCTCAAATACATGCGTGACGGCACGGTCAGTCAGAAAGCCTTTGTCTTGATTTCTGGAAGAAAAGATATATCCACACACAATTGTTTTTATTTTTCTGTGGTTAAGCCCAAACACAAGGTAGTTTTTCTAAGAATCCTGTCCAACCCTCCAAAATCCTTTACCATTCAGGAAAGCAATTACACGCCAATGGCACGTTCTTCGTATTTAAATTTCTAGGGGCATTAGAATCTGTGCAAAGACAAGGTGACTGGGCTCTTCTATCCTCAATCCTGCAACATCGTCAAAAACCTCCCAGCCAATGATGGAGGATCTGAGGAGATTTTTTAAAGGATGCACGTACTCAATTTTTTTAGAGTATTTTTTGTGTCTTTTTATGCTCTTCTTTAATGTCCTGGTATGACCAATGTTTGGAATCCTTTTGAAGTTAAGTGTACTTAAGCGTGTACTCCTTACCACGGTGTTGTAGTCAAGTACTTTTCGAGTACCAAGGTTGTCTTGCAAATATTTAACTGGGTAAGAGGGCGTAAAGCCAAAGTGCACAGGCATTTGATGGTTAAAGCACAAAGGTAACATTACAGACTAAACGTAAGACTTCAGACACTCACTGTTGTAAAATTCAAGTTTTAAGAAGAAAAGTACTCGGAAAGTAATCGGCCGAGTACTTTTGTCGTAAAAACTTAATATATATATAACAGTGATGGTCTGAAGTCATCATTTTACTTTGTAATCTTACCTTTGTGCAAGCACTATCAAATGCCCATGTACTTCAGCTTTGCTCCCTGCCAACTAGTTAAATTTTTGGTAGAGAACCTTAGCACTTGAGAAATACTTGACAACACTGCTTTAGATGGGATTT